ATATAGATACGGTGATGGATCAATGGCGAGTTTATTGTTAAGTAACAAGAAAAGGAAATCAAGCCGTTGTTTGAGTCTGCACGAAGCAAGTGGCTGAATGTCATTTGCAGTCATTAGTGCAGAGGGTGAATCAGATGGTAAGTATTTGTTGTATGTAAAACGAACTGTTTTCCTTTGAACCCGCTCAGTTTTATCAATAATAAACTTAGTGTAAGGATCCCATAATGTGCTGGCGTATTCTAATTTAGGTCTTACAAAATAAAAATAACTAAGAAGCTTTACATTTGGAGGGCAGTTACGCAGTTTATGTCTTAAAAAGCCGAGTTTTCAGAGGGCAGCTGAACATATGTTGTCTATGTGAACGTTCCAGGATAAATTGTTAGTTATGGTCAAGTCCAAATATTTATAGCTAGTGACCTCTCTCAGGGATGACGGCCCTAGTTTGTAGATAAGATGTAGTCTAGCGGATTTTTTCGACGTGTCAGACGCATACAGACATTTTTGTCTACGTTGAGGGTCATTCCCCATTCATTACACCACTGATCTATATTCGAAAGGTTTGTGTTAAATTTGTTTTGATCATGAACAGAGTAAATATCATGAAACAAAACACAATCATCGGCAAATAATCTAATTTGTACTGTAGGTGTTATGACATTGACAATATCGTTGATGTAAACGAAAAAAAGCAATGGCCCCAGTTCACTTCCCTGGGGCACACCTGATGAGACATGAAGAGATGGTGAACGGTGGTCATTGATGGCAACAAACTGTGACCGGTTAGTAAGATGTTCGGCAATCCAGTTTACGAGAATGTCTGGAAGGCCAATCCGCTTAAGTTTTTGAATCAGTTTATCGCGAGTTACTCTGTCAAACGCTTTACTGAAATCTAAGAAAATTATGTCAGTTTGCCTATTGTTATCAAGATTTAGTGCAAATGAGTGGATTACTGTAACCAATTACGTTACTGCTGAATATCCCTTTCTAAACCCGTGTTGAAATTGTGTCAAAAATAGAATGTTGGTCCAAACAATTTATTATTTGGGTGGCAATAATATTGCTACGTAGCTGATGTATCAGCGGTGAAAAGACGACAACGAGGAAGCAGCACGTGCAATGTTCAATTAATTTACAGCAGGATGACGTTAGAGATATAGAACGATAATTTCGAGGAGAAAGACGGTTCCCTTTTTTGAATACGGGACTAATGCGAGCGGCCTTTCAGTCACCTGGTAGCTTTGATGACAACAATGAAACACAAAAAATTTTATACAGGAATTTTACATGTTCAGCATACCTTTTTAGAAACATATTTGGCAGATCATCTGGTCTACACGATGTTTTAGACTTTAGGTTTAAAAGCATTGTGAATACGCCAGAGTAAGGCACAAAAGATGCTTCAGATGGATCGAACATTTTACAGCTTGGTACGTATGTACTACTAGAACCAGAAAACACACTTCGAAAATACGTATTAAAATGCTCAGCCACCGCTTTCTGGTCCGTAACAATCACGCCCTCAATTGCTATTTCGGTCACGGGTTTCTTTTTGTCAGCAATATAATTCCGGAATTTACTTGGGTCATTTTTTATAAAATTGGGCAGCAGTATCATAAAGTAGCGATCTTTGGAGGAGCGTACAGCCCATGCAAGGCTGACCTTGAGGGTTGAAAGAGTACTAGTCTACGCTTGCTTTTTCCGTAATGGCTTTATTTTTCGCTTTAAATGAATCATATTGCGCGTAATCCAGGGAGTTTGTTTGTGAACCTTCTTACGTTTATTTGGAATAAAGTTGTCTATGCAATGGTGACACATTTCTTTAAATCGGTTCCACAGTGTTCTGACATCTTCAGCATCAAATACAGCAAAACACGATTCCATGTAGTCTATCACAGGTACGTCATCTGCTCGTGAGTAATCTTTGAAACAACGAACCGATGATTTTTTATCGCTCGTTCATCTGGTAAGGGGAACGGATACACTAACCAAGCTGTGATCAGACAGGCCCTGTTCCACGGAAACAGTGTGCTGCTCTAGTTCACGGCTTATAAATACCAAATCAAGAATGGAACTACTGGACCCATGCACACGGGTTGGCTCTTTCACAACTTGCATCAGGTTATGAGTAAGCATGACGTCGAACAAAGCCTCCATCTCTTTTTTGTTCAAGGGCCCCGTCATAAAGCGTTCCCAGTCAACAGAAGGTAGGTTAAAATCGCCAGCTAATAAAATTTTCTGGTTGCATTGATGACGAAGCCACGCAGTCCCATCTGTCGGTACTGGCAACGGCGGTATGTGTGTCCAGCCTCCGCAGTGATAGCAGAGCGAGCGGTGGTCAGAGTCAGATGTGCACCAGACGTCAGTATTCCTTGGTGCACTGCGCTGGGTCGCTGGCGAACGGTATGACGTCGGTAGGGGTGGTGGCGGCGGTGGCGTCTGTCGACGGAAGTGCGATGGGGCGGCGTTTTGGCGTGGACAGGGAGGAGCGTTGTGGCGCACTGCAGCGGCGTAGCTCATAGCTTCCGGCTCGGGCAGCGGTGCTTGGGGAATTCGAAGTGATTGCCGAACTTCTTCTCGCACAATGTCGGGGATTTAATCCACTTGAGGCTGCGCCGAAGGCAACAGCTTGCGCAGCTCTTCCCGCACGATCGCTCAGATCGTTTCACGCAGGTCTTCGGAGTTACTGGCTTGAGCAGCAGCGCATTCTAGAGTCGGGCGACGATTATACTGTCTGGTGCGCATGTCCAGGGTCTTTTCGATAGTGGTCGCTTCGGCTACAAATTCTTGGACGGTGTTTGGTGGATTTCTCATCAGTCCTGCGAAGAGCTCCTGTTCGACCCCTTGCATGAGGAAACAAATTTTTTTCTTCTCAGGCATGTCTGGGTCAGCGTGACGACATAGTCGGGTCATTTTTTCTGTGAAAATGGCGACATTTTCATTTGATAGCTGAACCCGGGTCTCTAATAAAGCAGTGGCCCTCTCTTTGCGAGCAACGCTCGCGAACGTTTGCAGAAATGCGCTGCAGAAAACATTCCACGTTCGGAGCGTGGACTCCCGATTTTCGAGCCAGGCTCTTGCGATGTCTTCCAAATAGAAGAACACACGACGGAGCTTTTCGTCATGGTCCCAGTGGTTGAGGGCGGCCACACGGTCGTATGTTTCTAGCCAGGACTCCGGGTCTTTGAACGATGACCCAAGGAAAATTGGTGGTTCCCTGGGTTGATGCATGACCATCGTGGGCTGGGACGCTGCGGTTGTCATTGTCGCTGCAGTCGCGGTCATGGCCTTGATCTTCCGCGCCTTGTCTTGTTGAGGCTTGTACTCCGGTGGTAGCCCTTGCTGTCGGCAGCTTGTTCGCTGCTCCTGGTTGGCGTCGGTGTCTTCTTTGCGACGTGGGCTGGGTTGACGGCTTGACGGAGGCGTCCGGTACATGAACGAAGCAGCACCTCCACCAGATGTCACGGAGTCGTGACGTGGCCAAAGACAGGAGACTTTATTTTGGGATTTAACTGTTTATTTGGGCAAACCTGTGCCCGATAAACGGAAAGTTCGATTACAGTAGCAGTCTTGCACAGATAGCAGTGAACGGAGTGTCGGCCGTTGATCAACAACTGACAAGCGGCGAAGCGCGGCGGCATTTATACTCTTGCCATCGAATGTTCTAGCGTTATCGCTGGCGGTGGCGTAGGTTCTAGAATAATCTGTACAGTTCGCAGAGTAGGCGTGATCTTATTGAAATGATCTACTACAGTCCGGAAGATTCTCGAAAACTGCAGGCGCAGTTTGCGCTGAGAAATATGTAGTGTTTTGGGATGATAACAAAACTTGGGAAATGGAACGTGGCAATATTAGCTAACCTGTGTCAATTCTGTAGCAAGGAAGTCTAGGGGTGTAATTATTGAGGCTCTTGTTTAGCTTCACTATTTTGAGATCATTATGCTGTCGGACCGTGCTATTATTCAGGTTTCGTAAAAAAAAAAAAAAAAAAAAAAACATGTTGAAGAGGGAACTCGAACAGAAAGGCTTGCAGGCATATAGGGGCTTGAGTAGGCCCCGCCATGGTGCTCGAATAAAGGACGCTGATACCAGTGTTTATACAAATACACTTGCAAGAAAGAAAAAAAAAAAGACCCAGTGACGATCAGCATATAGATTGATCATCATTGGGTCTCTTTCTTTTTAATCGTCGATATCAGCCCCAGAAATCCATTACTTATCTAAGAGAAAATAAAAGTGGTTAACGTGCTTCGTGTAGTAGGAACTAGTGATGTCTTCTAAGCTTGCAAGTTTCACTTTGACTATAGAAGGCAAGTGCGCAACTGTAATTTGGGTTGTTGGTACATTATCGGCAAAAGAATCAGTGCTTTGTGAACACGACACAGAGCCAACATGGACTGGAAATGTCACCAGTAATGTGTGATGCACAATGTCATTGATTTATTTCATGGATGAGTGTGACGTCCAAAAAGCACCAAATGTCACCATGCGCTGAGCACTGCACCAGCCGGCTTGTTACTAGAGTAAATTCTGTTGAAGAATGTTGGTCTCGGTCATCCTTTGACTGACTCAGTGGTAGCTATTGTTTGTCAAGTCATAACAAACAATGCAAGACATGTATAGTGCCCAAATAAGCTGTATTGTTGCTTTATTGTATTAAAGCGGCTATGCATTATTTTCTTGTTTGGTACTTGGTGGTATGGTTAATTGAACCCAAATGGCTTCAGTCGGGTCGATATGATATCACTTCCTACGATTCGTTTGTTCATGCAGCATGAGAATAAAATGACTTCACCAAGCTGTTGGCCATTTGACTGAACCTGTGAAACAGGACTTGGGGTAGTTCAGTGGCTGTACAACACTCTGCTTCTTTGTCATTTTGTGGAAGATTTCTGCTGCTGCCTTCATATGCAGAGTTTTTAGAATTTTTCAAATGTTTTAAACTAGCATTTTTAGTTTTGTTGCAATACATCTATACGAATATTCCTTTTGTGTTTTTTCAGGCTGACTGGGGTTGCTTTGTTCCAGCCCAGGCCCTGAACTTCTTGTTTTTGCCTCCACGCTACCGTTTCCTTTACGTCTGTGGCCTCACAGTAGTCTACGACATCTTCCTGTCATTCATCCTTCATAGGGTATGAACTTGATCGCTGAAAGTGTCAGGCTTCCGTTTTTCTATACTGGCTGAATAAGTAGTGCCGCGATAGCTTTTTAGGTCACTTAAATGTAGTTTCTGTTGTACATTATGACCTAGAACTTGTTATTCCATTGCCTGAAACCTTGATAGCTTAAGGGGACAGGGTCAGCAAAAGTATTGAAAAAAGCTTTTTCTTTTTGTGTTATTTGACATGTGTACCCTTTTTTGAATTAGAATCAGTCATTTGTTTCTCTTAGTACGATTTTTTCTCTCCAGAAATGTCATATTTCAAAACTTGTGTAGCGGCCTGCCAATCCCTTACACTTATGTAGCAAGGGATTCCTTGCAGTTCAAGCATTATAGCCATATGGAGAAGTTACAGTTTGCAAGCTGTAGTGCATTTGTCACATTAAAAAAAAAAGATTGGGCTCAGAACTGCAAAAACAAAAGAAAGAAGAGGCATCAAGTTCTTCGTTGGGAAATCTATATCTGGTTGGGGGTGTCTTTGTGGTGTCATCATTGGCAAGCACCAAAACTATTGTTGTTGGACCATTAAAAGAAATAGAGCCAGCTTGGAGGACACAGGAAAGGCTGTGCGGTCAACATATTTTTACATTGCATCAAAGGACACCAATTAGTCTTACGGCATTTGCTGGAAGGACGCCGAAATACGGTGTAAATTCAACAAAGTCCAGTTGAATGGCGAACCACTCGTTTGTAAAGAACATCTTTCGGCATTTCTTATTGAAGCTGTTGAAACAAATGATCCGGTAATTAGCTCACCCAGAATTACTTGCTAAATGCCTCCATGGGAAAACTCAAAGCCTCAAAGACATAATGAGTCATTGGATTGTTGTGTGGGAGTACGCTCCAAAAGAAACGTTTTTCTCGGGCACCAAACACTGTAAATATGCACTCTGGGTGCTGTGTTCACTTTTAATGATGGCAATATAGCCCTTGTGAATGTGCTGAACTATTTTGGAATTTCCCGAGGGCACTGCACAGTGCAGAGTCTATGCACCCTTGAACTCCATCGACAGTACTGTGCACACATGGCTGCAGAGCAGATGGCAAATGAGGCTCGCCAGGCAAAACATTTCAACACAAAAAGAAAAAAATTATATTGGTGATTAGTATCTGGCTGGCTGGCTCTTGAATGTATGCGTCAATTTGCTGTTATCTCATCGTACTTTTGAAATAATGCAGATTTCCAACTTCAAAGTGCAATTATCTCAAAATGTGTTTTTTTTTTACTTATGCTCCTTTATCTCAGCAGCCACTGTACTTAAAATCATAGATTTTGGCCAGTATTTAGATAACGTAATATGAATATGCTGAAGCAGAATTATTGTTGTGTGAGGAAGTGCTCTTCTGTAACACAACATCTAATAGCTATTATCACGATATAGTTAGGTTTCTGAAGAAAAAATTTACAAAAAAATGAACATGACAATCTTCAGTGCTAAATATGCTTCAGCAATAAGAGCAATGGCTCATGATCATAATGATAGTAAAATAGTTACTGTAGTTTTTATGGTTATGGAGAAAAAGATACACTAACTTTGCCTAAAATTCATGGTGGGATATAGGGCTTACTCTTTCCCCAATATCATTGAAATGCTGCTGTTTTTTCTACTTCTTTTTGGTCCAAATGTAGTTTAAAATCACAGGCATTTTCTAACAGCTGTATTAAGTGCACATGTGATCTGATACAATGAAAAAGCAAATCAGGGCACTATTGCCATACCAATTTGTCACATTACTAAAACATAAGGTCCTAAGATTGTGGAAAAAAAAAATACTGCATAAAAATTGCTCAGATTTTGCTTAGTGTGTCTATCATGAGCTTTTTATTTTGCAGCTTCATTTTTATTTGCAGTATATAGTGAAGTGGCACAAATTTCTGGACCTATGTATTTGTATTCATTGTAACTTTTCTATCCGGTGTTGTTCATAGTTAACACTTATCCTACATGGAGTCCTGGCCTTGAAATTATCCAGTGACCTTCAGCAGATTGTTTTAGCAGTGTTTTACAGCAGGAAAATATTGATCACAACTAAGTTGTATCTTGTTGCACTTCATGCTGCAGGATTATTATTCAGTTTATGCATTAATCATAGTTTATCAATTGATCCTATAAGAATTATGTTGTTCAATGAGCTCATGTCTTAATGTTTTTGTCACACCAAGTGATTAAATACGAAGCAGCAGTAAGAACAGTAGAAGTTAACTGCTACAACTAGTATAAATGTAAACATAACTGAATAAGGAAAAGTTTGATAAAAAGAGTAAGTACACCTTGCAGGTACTGAACGCATCTGCTACATTATGCATGTAATGCCTTACCAGATAAGGCACAGGGCTATTTTGGCCATTTTCTCAGTTACTTGTAAACTGCTGAATATATGAAGAAGTATGTTTAAGATCTCACGTCAAGACACAATGGACTGTTCATTTTATTGTAAAACATCACTCGCTTTCAACTGCAGACTTTAGATGCAGTTCAAAATTTTTCATTTCCCAGGATTCTCATGAAGGTTCTTATGGAGTCAAGAGTTGATGGTATACTGTAAGTAGCCTCTCACCTTCAACCTACTGTTGCCTGTATGATCCGCAAATTTCGTGTCATGCCGTACAAACAAAAGACTCAATATAGTGACAACACAACTTTATTCAAAAAACACACTATGTACCATTTTGTTCCAGAATGTACAGTTCCACAGTTCCAGTAATCATATTCCACTTGTTTATGATGAAAAGAGATATATGAGATATATATATATTTATATTGCCATTTTCACTAGCACCAACAGCGCACATAACTTTGTTTGGCCCGCAGACAGAGCAGCCTGAAGGCTGTGAATGTGCTCTTTCATAAAAGTGTCACGTGAAGCTATTGCACTTAGCGCTTTATATTTGTGACCTCTACGGTGATGCTAGTTGTATTCTGCACACAATTGTGCACACTTGCTTTGGCAACTCTTTTTTTTTCAATCTTGTAGGCTTGTTTAACGTAGCAGTCTTTTTGTGACCCTGAAATCTTTTCACATTTTCGTGTTTTTGTCACTGAATTATCCGTTGGTCATGTTGTTATTGCTGTCTATTACGTGCACAGGAAGCTCCATTCTTCCTGCTTTAACCTCACTGACATGCTTTCAATCTTGCAAACGAAAGCAGTGTGAAACGGTTTAACGTCATGGTATGCGCACATTTGGAAAAGGTGGGGCCATTGTGCCACACCAACACAGCAGCAGCGTCAAGCTGTCCAATCAGTGCAAACAGAGAAGAGGCAAGCCTTACATAAGAAGAGGAATGAAACAACACACTCTCAAAAGCCAGACCATCATCTTCAGGAATAGGTGTCTTGCCTGGGCTCTGTACGTTACCACTCGAAGGACTGCCTGTCGTCTTGTACCGAAGACACACACACGAAGAAAAAAAAAAAAAGCTGTTGGCTAGACAGTGCAGAGTTCTTGTCTTTGCAGGCACTAAGACCTCGATGTGGAGCAAAATGTGTGCCAGGTGAATCATTGTGGCACTAACTCATTGAGTTATCTCATGTCAGCGTCACAAAGGAAGCCATGGCTGGAGACTTGTGATGAATCAATGAGGGGTTTGATGCCACTTCTGTTCAGGCTGTATTGCTGCAAAATGCATAAATTTGTCAGCTTTTGACACAAATGTTTTCTTTCATTTTCATTTAATATTGCAATATTGTGATTAGGAAACCTGGCTAGTATTTGTTAACACTTGCAAAGGTGCATAGTATTCTGTCTCATAAGCAAAGTTCTTCAGTGCATTGTCACCTAGGTCGACAAAACAGTTTAAATCACAGCAATAATGGTCTGTCTTTTTAGACACTTTTGGTTTTTCTAGAATTGACATGATCTATTAACTCTGATTTCTAACTTATATTTTTTGTTTAGCCAGGAATTCTGCCTTGAAATCCTGATTAAAGCATAGGAAATTTAACTCAAAGCCTACGAAAGAGTTTTTTATGCATTGGATGGAGAGTTTAGTCCCAGATGATTCAAAGGCTAATATTTAGTAAATATGATACTAAAGTATTTGTTCAAGAACATTTTATATTTTTGTATGTGCACATTGTGAATATGTTTTCCTTTCCCATGAGTTAAGATGAGCAAGCTGCTGAAGTTTTCTTTCACAGCTGTCTGTAGGTGTTATAACATTGCACACTTTATGTTGACCTTCAGCGAATGAGAATAGAAAAACTGAGTGCATGATTTCAAGTTCTGAATGCAAACTTAAGGAAACTATTAACACACATATTTTAAACTGTCCTACATTTTGTTCCAATACTATATGGTAATTCACTGCCAGCTTACTTTCTTGTGACAGAGTGACGGAATTCGGGCACTGAGCATTCAATTAACCTGATTGCGACTGAAAGAAAAGAAAAAAAAAACTGCCAAAATCACTGAAAATCTTTTTCAACTCTGTTTGTAGAGCATTTTTTTCTCAATAAAATGTTGTCATTCTTTTCTATTCAATCACATTTCGTTATTTAACTATTGCACAAAAAAAGATAACATGAAAGTGGCTTCACTGCATGGCAGCACATAAAAATGGCTAATAAAATGAAAGCCAGGACACCAATGTCTCAACATTAAAAGGCGTGGCCATTTTGCATCAAGAACACAAACATGATGAATATAGTTTTCCTTGCTTTTGTGTGGGAGCAGTTTTTGTTGATGAGTACAATTGTCATTGGTCATTTTGTTAGACAATTGCATGATAACCATACTCGTTGAATGTTGTGAAAGTGTTCAGGGGGCCATGGATGCGTTTGCTTCCCGTGAGTGGCATCAGTTAGCAGCTTTAGTTACTGGGTATTCAGTTAATTAATATAATAATAATTAGTTACTGGGTATTACTGGATATTCATAATATTAATAACTTCATAATATTAATCGTAGTGAGGGTTTCAGCTTGTACTTCCCTACACCTGACCTGAGAAAAGGCTTACAGAATTTTGCTTACAGTACTAAGTGGATTAGGACTTTCTTTCTCGCTGAGTCCACCGTAAAACATTTCAGTTGCTTGCCATGTTTCCAGGCCTTAGGTATTCACATTTAAATATAGTTTTTAAGGATCATCACGATCACCAATAGCTCTTAACTAATACAAATGCATTTCTTGACTGAGTAGTGGAGTGTTAAAATCAAACATTTTTGGGGAATCAAGAATCAACATTAATCATGCCCTGGTGCGTGTGCATTCCACTGAATGAAAACTACTTTGGAGACAATGCTAAAAATTAAATATTTGCTCTCATTCATAGTTGCCCATATTTTCATTGCACAATAAAAAAAGATATTTTCCTGCTCCCCTTATAATCTGAAATACATTTTTTATTATACTAGTTGAAAATATACTCAAGAACGGGAAAAGATTGAATTTTCGCAGAAAAGCAGGAAGTGCTTGTTTGCGAAAGGCATGCGACTTTTTTTGGGTGGCTTATTTTGTGATGATTATTGGCTTGTTAGCTCGGTAGCATCTGGCTACTCTGATGATATTGCTACGTCTCTGTCATCCTTTTCACCCGTAGGTATCTGCACGGAGGGCAGTGGGGTGGGGGCGACCACCCCCCCAAATCACCCGAAAGGGAGGGTGCGAAATCTGCCCCATACGTTGACTTAATAGGGGAGGGGCTGCTGGGATGAACCTTCTCCCCCCTCACTCGATGTCTGTATAAACTCACACTGTGTCTATGCCTCTCAGTAGTCGTCGTCATATTTGACCGAGCTCTGATGGGACTGGGCGGAATTGGAGGCGGCACCCTGGCGGTAGAGGTAGGATGGGTTTGCGTCTGATGCTGGTGCCTTGTTGGGAGCTGGGATTATGTAGGTGCGTGTCGGGGGAAAGCCGAAGCCGCTTCCACTGGATCCTCGGCTGGGCTGGGCTCCTCCGAACTGTGCGGGAGCTGCGGCAGGCTGCGGGGGGGTACGAGTACAAATGAAAATGTTTTGTCAGCAATAGTGGTGGAGATTTCAAACAGCTGCAGCAGAGAATCGCAAATGCTGTTGTTGGTAGTGCTTTCTTTTATGCATCTCACACCGCAATTTCACTCTGACAAAAAAGGCACATTTATCATAGTGGGATATTTCAATTCATCATATCTCTGGTTACTGGGAACCTTTTTATGTGTTCTTGGGTGGCTTTGTGGGTATGTGGCTAGTATTAATGTTTACAAATGGATGCACAGATGAGTATCACTGTTAGTTCTAGATGATGTACACATATTTGTACGAAAACTTTAGATGAGCTGGAGAGAATGACATGATGATCTGGAGAAGCAGCATCGCTGCTGTCAATGCAGTGTAGAAACAGTAAAGAAAAGTATTTTAATGGGACATATGGTTAAACAACCCGTGTCACAGAAACTTCTATGTCAGTGGCAGCAGCATTGATTTTGTGTGAAAAATCATGATGTATTCAAGCCAGAGTCAAACCAAGGCATTTTACGCAGCAGTCAAATGTCCTACCACATAGCCATGCCACTGCTTAAAACTGTGTCAGAAAAAAGAAAAGTCCGGCAAATTTGCATCACCAATTCCACACGTGCAGGTGATTCTTCTTTCACAGCATGTTCTTCTTTCACAGAATATCACAGAAGTGACATATATAGCAATCGAATAGGAAGATGGTGAAAATGGGACCCAATAATGTTGTCACAATCCAGTCTTGATAGCAAAGCTCAATTGTGCTCCAAGTTGTTGCTGATTCTCTCAGAAAGTGACGTAAACAAATTTGCAGAAGTTACATGGGAAAAATTGCGCCGTGCTGCAGACATTAACATTCATCTTGAAGCTCTGTGGAGGACAGGCACACACCAGAGGAACAGCACCCGAATTTCGGCAGGCGTGCCCTGTGCTCCTGTTTTATTGCTATTCTTTAAAAGTGCGGTTCACTTGACCATGATATTAATTACAAGAATGGCCATTTTCCTCCAAACGGTAAGTAAAAGAGAATTGGCAATGTAGTTTTCTGATTGCTTGTTTGTTTTTGCTTGCCATGTGCACTCATTTATGAAAGCATAGGTTTTTAGTTAACTAAATAAGGTTTTATGGCCCAAAGCAACTGAGGCTATGCTGCATTAACCACAAGGTATTAGACAATGGCCAGTAAAGGTTGCTAAGTTCTAAAATTTATGTAAAAATCTTGAAGGACGCTTAAGCTTCGCCTGCAAAAGAAGAATGTGACAGCGTGATCAGGCACCTTGCGCATTGCCTTCAACTATGCTGCTAGCAAAGGAACGTTTCTGCACAAAACATTGATTGTTTCATAGTATTTTACTATGTCCACTCTATGTACAGTCGCTAAGTGCTCATCATGCCATGATTCTTTCTTTTGCTAGTTGGCAAAGGACCCACTACCCATCTGCAAGGTGTCACGAGCATTAAATGTGAAAGTTGGGCTATTTGGTGCTTCATGCTTGGATGTAAAAACAGCGGAAAAATACACACAAAGATGGAAGAAGAGACGGCAAGGCGCTGAACTCACAACTAAATTTTATAAGGAACACACACATATATCAGGCAGAGGACCTAGTCACATGGCACACTATGTCGACTGCGCAGCAGAGCAAACAAGGTACAAAAAAAGAATCTTATCGCGATGAAAAGCGACACATATGTAAATAAATATCCAAGAAAAAGGAAACAAAAAAAAGATCACACTGTCAGGCATATTTTTGCAAGTAGGTGTGATTTTTTTCCTGTTCTTTTTTCTTGGGTATTTAATCATGTGTTGCTTTTCATCGTGATAAGGTTCTTTTTTTGTACTTTGTTTGCTCTGTTGCACAGTCGCTATGGTGTGCCACGTGACTAGGTCTTCTGCCTGATATATGTGTGTGTGTTCCGTGTAATAAAATTTAGTTGCGAGTTCAGCGCTTTGTCGCCTCTTCTTCTGTCTTTGTATTCTTGCACTGTATTTACATCCAAGCAGTGGCGTGCACTTGCATAGCTGCACAAAATGTAATTTGTGGGTAGCTTTAAATCACCCACTCGCGCAATTCACATGCTTTGATGGTTGATGCAATTATAGGATTCTGCCGCAGATACATCAAGGAGACTTCTTCCACTGCTACATGACGTTCATATAGTGTTTTTTTTCTAAAGCAGTTTCAAGCAATGACATGGCTATTTGCCACCTGTTTGCCTGTATTTGCCACCTGGGTTCGACTCTCAGTATGAACCAAAAGTTTTCATTATTTTATTTGCATCTTTCTCTACTCTTTTTCACAGACAAGAGGATTTTTCTCAGTTTGAACCAAAAGTTTTCGTTATTTTATTTGCATCTTTCTCTACTCTTTTTCACAGACAAGAGGATTTTTATCTGCATCTTTCTTGATTTTTTGTCACAGACAAGATTATTTTGGCTCACAATAAACGATGCCAACACCGGCACTGACGGGGGAACTTCTGCAAAATGTGGTCTTTACCGTCATCACATTAAAAACACGATTTCCCTTAAGTAGTATAACTTGTTTGTGGATGGAAGCTCTCTGTACCTGGGAGCTGTACTGTGGGGGTGACTGTGGCTGGAACTGCTGGGGCTGGAACTGGGCGGGGGGTCCACGAGGGGCTGCTTGTCCACGGAAGGGCTGCCTGGCGGGGGGGGCTTGTGGCTGGGGCTCGTACTGGGCCTGCTGAGGGGGTGCCTGTGCACGGGGGGCCTGGCCAGCAGCGGGCGCTGTGAAGGGGTCACCCAGCACGTATCCCTCGGGGTAGTAGCGCTGGGCGTATTGCACAGTGTTGTTGGGGCCACGGGTCTCCAGCTCCTGTTTTTTTTTTAACGAGAGAGAACATGAGGGTGAGAGAATGAGGCCTTCATTAATTCATGTATTTATTCATTCATTTAGTGTTTATTCATGTAAAAAAGAAGACTGCCTAGGTAGAAAGTATAAAGGCACATTAGCTCTGCCTGACTAGGTCGTTTACAATATTTGGTGCTTGGTGCTTGTGGGGCATATTTTTTAAAACTGCAATGTTCTGGCTAGTGCACACTGTAAAAAAAGAACTGGCATAGAACGTTCATAGTGTTTTTTTTTTTCAATACGACAATACAAGACTGAAAACAGGGTTAAGCAGGACAAAAATGCTGTCCTTTCTTTTGTTTTGCTATATTGGTTTGTGCCGAGAATGCACTGTGGATTCACATCAGCTAGCCTTCCAATGCATTGTGAGGAACGTTCACAACCAGCTGTAACTTATATGCGTCTTTTGCTCTAGTTTCATGTGACAGACACACGTGCAAATTTTCTGGCCTCTCTATCTGAAAAGTTTTGCTGCATGAGATTCTGTAAGAAAGTAAAGTCTTCTGTGGTTTGAGTGCTATAACTGTGGCATGAATAGGAGATAATCTGTTATAAGGGACTCAAATTATTTTTGACAGCTTGGACTTCCGACTTGTGCTTGTATTTACGAGGCTGTTCACGCATTTCGCCACACATTGAAGTGTACCTATTGTGTTCAACGTCAAACCTGTCTGCTAGGCAGCTTAGTGGCATAATGCTGCAGCCATGGTTGCAAGAAAATTGCAAACAAAACAGCATTAACTTTTTTTTGGCTGTATTCTCCTATACACCGTGACTTCTCTTGACAGCACTGTGGAAGCTAGAAAACTAAAGCGCATGCTCTGCTACTGCACCAGAAAGTAGTACTTAAGTTTACCGATTATTTTTTCAATGGCCTTGCTAAAATCGATACTGCTGCATTTATTCTGAGACTCGGGTAATTGAGGGAAGTCTTTAATAAAATAAAATTACTGTTGATTTTGCAAGAAAGCCTTTTTTTCTTCTTTCTGTTTCTGAGATAGCACCACCATCTAGCATGCCCGTTTTCCAAAGTATACGTGGTGTCTGTGACATAGTGGGCCAGTGTGCGGTTACAAGCGTGCTGTTTATAATGTATTTGTAATATGACACTAAGATGTACACTGAGCAGTCGAGGTGTCTCTCCAATTCACATTTCTCGTGTGCATGTTTTTCTCTGAATGCATTGGCGATGTGGACAATACTTGAATCAGCTCAGGCTGACGTACTATTTGTGTAGCAACACGAATGTGTGGCAGCCTTCCCCTTCGTAGCTTTTACCCCAATGTCAAGATGTCGCAGAGCATAGCAAAACGCAAAGCAATGAAAGTGCCTTGTCGGCCTTTTGAGAGGGACCATGCAATTTTCTAGAGAAAGTTCACTACAACTTCAGCTCCTGTTATCATTCTACCTCGAGGATGAAAGAAATTGTGTGCTAAATTTTCGCACTTGCTGCAAAATACGTGCAAGGTTTGCGTGATGCTTACTCAGGCTCATAGCTCTTTCCTATTTTGCAGGCCTTGGTCAACTTGGACAACAACCATATGGCAATACAGCATCGATATCACCCTTGCGAATTACTACGGCGCGTAGGGTTTTTAAGCTGACAGTTTTCTTTCTGACGACTCTAGGGGCTCCACATTTTCTATATTTTCTTTCTGTGTGCTTAGCATACAAAAATCAACATCATTAATGTAGTTTTTCAGAGTTTAGTGTTGCAGACGGTTCGAAGATGGATACATCAACAGTGAATATCCACTGCTGTGCAAGCTAATAATTGCACTTTTGAACACTCTTCATTGCGAGAATAGCATCTGATATTTGTTTTATGTTTCTTAAAATATTTTAAATTAAATTCAGAAGTTAATAAAAATGTACACTGAAAAATTAATTTTTTTTTGTTTTTGGCTCAAGTGTAGAATTGATGGCTTGGTGTTGCAACATCACTGATACAGTACCGATTGTTCCCTGTAAAAGCCTGCATCATTTATAGAGATATGCATTGTGTGAATAGTTGGTTTCATTTCTTTCACCCTGTAGCTTCACAGCTGTTGAAAGCAGCGGTGTTGTGACGATTATTCTTAAAGAGTCTTCTAGGAGTGCTTCCGAAGCCATTTGCCGATTGATTGAAAAAAATGACATTTATACAGTTTGCAATGCAACACAGACTATGAGAGACACCATAAAAAAATCTTTGTATTAGTAATGACTTCATATTATTTTAATTGCTGGTACAATTGCATTTCTGCATTTAATCTTGCTGCACTTTCCTTGGGAGTCGAACTCGTAACCTGCTGCTCAGCAGCTATATGGTATAACCACTGAGCTACTAGTTAAATAGGCTCTACTGTTGACTTCGAAACAGTCAACACTGGTAAGTGAACAAAAAACAGCTAAACAAAAAAAGTTACTGAGAACAAATGTTGAACATTCTTAAGAGAGCTGTACTAGGGCCTATAGAAACTCCCAGGTTTGTTGTGTACGAGAGCACTCGCCTTATGCAGGTAGTCGTTGACAAAGAAGAACTTTTCGGCCGTGTTGCAAATGTCCTGGCTGGCAGGCACGCAGTTCAGGTGCACCTGGTGGAACACTGTTCCCTCAGGGCACATCCACGAGTGCTTGGCGCCACCGACACAGTAGTGGAACACCTGGCAGTTGACCGAGTTGTCCGCGTAATAGCCGTCCGTCTTGCTTGAGCAGGTGAACGTAGACTTCTCGAGCAGAAGCGTTAGGGGGTTGGGCTTCTCCTCCTCCTCCTCTTCGCTCTGGGACTGCAAAGTTCAAAAACGGGAAAGGAATTGCAGAACGGCGGCTTTGCCGCAAAGTATGACATATTGCAGTGAAGCACGCTCGTCAGGCGACTTTGACGGATGGCAAGCTACCATATCGAAGGTCGGAGTTGCGTTCAGTTACACTTTTTGGATGTACCGGTGCAAAATAAGTGCGGCAGGGATCAATTGTGTGAGACTATGCTTCTCTTCGCTCCGGATATTCTTCCGGGATATTTGGTTGCAGTGCTACAAGGTATGTCGGGGATCAGTGACCTGCTGTAAGCGTTTGTTGCCAATCTCGTTTGTTATTAGCGGGTGTGGCTAACGACATCTTCAAACAATATAAATGGTTCTTTTGTAAGTTGTTATTTATACATCTATATACTGTGCTACAGTGGTAGAATGCGCTTTTGATAAGAGAGGTCATTCATCCTGGCTGCACCTTTCGGTATGAAATTGGCTATGTTCAAGGCGCTTTATGGTAGATCGGATTTGGTTCTGCAGATTAGATGACTTGATCAAACAAAAAATTGAATGTTTATTGGTGTATTATTCGCTCGCTCACTCAAGAAATTTAAATTGCCAGTTATGTAGTGGTGTTTCGTCCTGTCGTTGATTTTGGTTTCTTACTGCGCAAAGTCGGCGAGGACATAAAAAAATCGCGAGAAGAGGGATTCTGTATGCGATTTTCAGAAGCTTGCTGCTTCCACGATTACGCGATAGCTGTATGTGTACTGTCCGCGCGAATATCTGAAAGTAAGTGAATCGCCTAATCACTTCACTTTAAGTGCCATTGATGGTTTGTCTATGACGTCGCATCGCTGGTGTCGATTGGTAGCGGACAGTTCTTACATTAATTTTCAATTTATCATGCAATAAAATATCTTTGCACGGCAAGGAAGAAATATATGAAAATGACCCCGTATCTGCATGCAATCTGGAAATGTCGTCGAAAGACGATAGTCTTGCGTCTGGAGAGAGTGAACAAAACGTTTATTTGATGTTCTGCGCAAGAAAATCGGTGAATGGTATTCTGGAGGCGCTGCGTTAGAGTGCCCCGAGCGTGCAGTGGGGGCGAACGTGAGACACACGTGAGACATCTGGACGCTATGTGGACGTTATGTTGGAAAACGAAACGTGTGGACAAACAGGCAAATCTACTGACAGACAGCCAGTGATTGATTTGTGGGGTTTAACGTCCCAAAACCACTATATGATTATGAGAGACGCCGTAGTAGAGGGCTCCGCAAATTTGGACCACCTGGGGTATTTAACGTGCACCCAAATCTAAGTGGACAGACAGCCAGACCATTTTTTTTTTGCGTCGAAGGTTCCTAAGAAAGTCTATCGTCTTAAAAAAAAAAACAGCAGGATACATCGAGGTTTAGATGAATTGAACCATCTGCGAAGAAAATTTGTCTTCATACGGCTTCATTTTTAGTGCACGGTTGCGTACTATCACTTTGTCACGTGATCACGTGACAATGTCACGGGAAAAGTGTAATTTTTCTTAGCTCAAAATTGACCTGACAAAAAAACAAATTCGCCCTATATTTCTGGCCTGATCTTTTATTTGTGAGAACAAGGCATTAAAGGCTTCACAATAAATATTGGCCGCGAGGGCCTCCGCTTGAGAGGCCAGCGCAGCGATCGTTTTGACGTCACAGATGGGATGCGTAGTTGTGGAATACGGCAGCTTTGATTTCGCGAAACCGCTTGCATCGTCAGCCATGGCTGCACGGGCTCTTAGTCGCGATTTTACGATGCAAATTAGACACGAGAGTGCCACCGGGAGCACCGATTCGTGGTTTGCTTGCCCGTATTATCAGGTCTTACCGCTTCTTTAAGCATTGAGCTTCAAAACGAAGAGAAGCACGCAAGGTGTCCACAGCAAATGCGCAGGAAATGCGGTGTTCTAGCAGACAACACAACCCGGCATTCTATGAGCCACGGTATGTCCTCGAGGCCGATATATTTGATTACGCTTAAATTGAGAATAATTACTATAGTGCACAAAGGTTAGCATATTATGACATCCTTTTTTATGCAATGAAATATCGAGTGCCTTGAAGTAATTATGTGTCCATTTGACGTATTTACTGACAATTCTTCATTTGTGGCGCCTGAAGAAGTTCATTTTAAAGTTTCACACACACACACAAATATATATATATATATATATATATATATATATATATATATATATATATATATATATATATATATATAACACCACCATAATTTTTTGTAATGTGTAATCTTTCTGTTATATAACCTCCATTATTTCTAAAGATTTATATAATTTATAAAAGCACTCAATTCTTCTTGGCCAATCCACCACAGTGGTTATGCGCTACAGTTATCGTTAATAGGTGAACAAGAACAAGTTCTTAGTCAATCCCCAGGGTGGGTAAAAGTCATACGTGAGGGAATAACAACAACGGAGCACGCTACGGGAGCGAACGATGCTTTGCGTGTACCTGCTGTCCTCCCTGCTGCGACTGCTGCGTGGGCCTGGCGAGCCCGCCGCCGAAGGACTGCACCGTGGCCCTACCCCGCGGTGCCGGCTGTCCCTGGAAGCCGGACGGGTCGTACGGCTGCTGCGGCGCAGCCTGCACCTGTGGCCTGAAGGACTGAGCCTGGGCCTGCTGAGGCTGGTAGGCTTCGTAGCCAGCAGGTCCTCGATTCGCCGCCGCACCGCCGCTGGGCTGGTAATGGGCCTGCCGCGCCGTCTGTAACGATCACAAGCACGAATGGGACATCGTCATGAGTACTGCTATACATGAGAGCTCTAGGATGCCTATGCGAGTAAGAAAATGCGTGGATATGTCAGCGATCCGTCGGTGCTACTTGCTGTTTGTGAAGACTATAGTATCTAGAAGCTAGATTGTGGCAGTTGAAGCGTTCACGGGACCGTATTTTCGCCTTTTAGCTCATGCTGTTTTTTAGATGCGAAGCATCTCTTTGACTCACATGTGTAACGTCGTCCGTACGTCCGTGTGAGCGCGCCGTACCGCGTTCCCTTCGCCGCAAGTGTTGGAGCCGTGTCAAGTAGGTCGAATCGCAGCTGCGCGTTGACGTCACTCTCGCCTCGCTCGATTTTCTCACAGGTGCGTGCTAACGTCATTCTCTCTCTCACCCGCAGCATGCTCGCCGTAGCGCCCGCAGCTGCCGGCTCCTCCGCCCGCTCGCAACACACTTCTTTCTCACTTCACCCTCTCCACTGCTCGCCACGCTCAATCGCACATCGAGTGGGAACACTCTCGGCTAGTTTATCTGCGATGGAACATACACGAAACCCAACCCGCCTCCCGTGTCTTTGCGTTTCGAACAAACGTTTACTCGAGTAAACGCTTCACCGAGTTTCGCTTCAAACGTTCTTCCAGCACCCGCGTCGACGCCCGTTTCAACCGGGTGAAGGGCGCGCGCACCGCTGCTGCTTCGCATCACATCAGGGTTCCTTTCGGGGAGATGGTCCATAACTTTTTTTCATGCTCACTGTATATATCTTCGACTCAATAAAGGCGGAGGTGCTGTCTACCCCTTTCTCTGTATACTCTTGTATCAGCGCGGTTAAACCATTAAGAAATGAATGAATGGGGAGGAGAGCCTTTTTTATAGCTAATTTAGGCACACTCCGCCGAATTCAAACTAACACTCCTCATCGCTTCAAAGGCGAGAAGGTTGACCCAATGTGAAAACTAAATAGTGCGACACAAGTCTAGCGAAGCAAAGTAACATCCTCTGCGGGATTGCGGCCTCCTGCCCGCTCCCCCAAACACGACTCGGAAGAAGCTTATGCGGTCTTTCGAAAAAAAAAAAAAGCTACGAAACGCAATCTTTCCCTAGGCAAAAGAAATCGCCGCTGACAAGAGATCATCTGCAAATGCCTTGTATGTATCTTTAATAAAGTTGTCTCCTCCTTCTCCTCTGATAGTTGCTGTTGCTAACGGGCTTTGCGCTCCGTGCTCGTTACCTTTGCTGAAATATATGTTTCAATGGAGGTCAAGATTTAGAGACTTGATTACTGTGCGACCCCATTACTGTGGGCGAAATTTCCGGAGCCCTCCACTACGGCGTCTGTCATGATCATATCGTGGTTATGGGACGTAAGACACAGATGTTAATATTATAAAAGAGTTTATAATGGACTTTGAAAAACCGCCCCTCCAACTTTTTTTGCGACTGTGCTGCTTGTGCAGCGGAGACCTCGTATTATTATTATTATTATTATTATTATTATTATTATTATTATTATTATTATTATTATTATTATTATTATTATTATTATTGTTGTTGTTGTTGTTGTTGTTGTTGTTGTTGTTGTTGTTGTTGTTGAAATATTTGGATGCTCTAGAGCCCGACTTTTTTTTTTACTTTGATCCAGATTGTATGCAGATGGTAGCCCTACAATAGAAATACAGCGACGAGCACTTCTGGAAAAGGAGCAGCGAGTATACTTTTAAAAATTGCGGAAAACGGTGAGTTAAACAAGAAACTCCTTTAGTTAACGAACTGGTTTCTTGTTTGCTTGTTTTCGGTGCTGAGTCCAATATGGCGCCACTGGAAGTCACTCGTAAAATAGTCTATAGTCGCCATCGGCCATTAGCTAATCTCGTGACATATATACTTGTAAACGCGACTCCCATCTACTCATCACCAGCGTTACTACTTTGAGCCTTATCTGGATCCACGTTTATACTCGCGTCTACCCACGCCTATTCTCCAAATCTGTATCGTTCACACATCATTTCAATATTTATTGATAATAGGTATGTATTCAGTAGGGAAGTGCGTTGAACTACCTCCTCTCCCAACTCTCTCTTCCGGGGGAATCTTCGATAAATATACTTTGTAATATCTCTCAAGAAAAAATACCCTTGCTGATTTGAAACTACTAATATACTACTTCGTATTAGAAGGTACTATATCAAACAGCGCCAAGAAGAGGCCAATTACGTGAGATTTTGGTGTTAAAGAGCATTGACACCATAGTTGATGAAGCTAACTCTAGACTAACTCATGAGTCTGCTCATGAGTCGACTAACTCGGACTCACTCAGACTTAGATCGAGCCGTGAGTCTGAGTGAGGTAGTGTGAGTAATATTCTGGTGAGTTTGAGTCCGAGTGAGTCCTTAGCGCTGAATATATTTCACGAGTAAGTCTGGGTGAGCTGAACTATTTTTGTCCGGCCTGTGGACGCCCGAGAGAGTGTTAATAATGTTAGATTTACAAACTGGTCCAAAGTACCGTCCCTTTCCTGTCGGATTAGGGATTCGATGACAGGTTCTTTGCTCACCCTAGATGCAGACGCGGCGGCGATAGCCACGAATACTGTGACTGCCAGAATCGTGGTCCTCATGGTGAACCTGCAACGAGACGAACGAAAAAAAAAAGTTTTAGTGCGTTGGTTCGGAAAGCGTCAACAGTGAATGCGATTTTCAGACACTGTAGGTGCACCTAAGCCGGGTTGTTTATGCAAGTTCAAAGTTTATTTAGCAGGAGATTCGCCTCACAGAACTTCACATAGAATGTTTGAAATTTTTTTCGCCATTTAAACATGACATATGTGCATGATTAAAAAAAACAATTTTGGTACCCAACAAATTTGTTGAAGGGTCGCTAGCGAAGCTATCACTACAAGAAGAATACGTCTACATCAGCTGTTTATTGATTGTAATGAGATCAAAGGAAAGTGTCTCAAATGAACGAAACAAACAAATACAGTACTAAGGAAAATGTCACACAAGTTACAAATTTTTGTTCTGCAATACTTAATACCAAAACATGTCATACGAGGGGAAAAAATTGAGACTGCAAGCAAATATGAGCTGTGTTATACATTGTCAAAAAATGGATCTTTAGCATCCTCGGAATAGATTCGGATGCGGTGACAAAAAAATACCGTACATTGTATAGTTGGCTTTATGTATCTATCAGTGTACGTGAACAAAAGAAGCAGAATCGATCGAGGAGCATGTTATAATAAACTACCACGATGAATAAAGCAGGAAGTGGCGGTGTTAATTTCTTCTAGGGACATTTCGCGCCTCTGTCGCGCACGAGTTTTGAGCACGAACACGGCGCTGAAAGCCAGCATTGAAGAGGCAGACCTCTTCCTACAAAAAAAAATCAAAAAAATCGCTGTATTGATTTATAGCGAGTACGGTCGTGTTGACCCGTCGTCGACAGAGAATTGTACATTACTAAAATTGATGTTACCAATTTTTGTACTTATTATGGTAAATGGCTATAATTGGACATCATCATCATTATCATCGTCATCAGCCTGACTACGTCCACTGCAGGACAAAGACCTCTTCCATGTTCCGCCAGTTAACTTGGTCCTAGGCTCGCTGCTGCCAATTTATACCCGCAAGCTTCTTAATCTCATCTGCCCACCTAACCTTCTGTCTCCCCCCTAACCCGCTTGCCTTCTCTGAGAATCCAGTTAGATGGACATACCCCTTCACATGTCAAGTTGAAAAAACAGGCGGTGAGTTCCCTTCAACAAGAGACCGCACTTGGGATCGGTTCTGTGGGGATTTTGTTTACGTACCGTTGTCCCAGGCGCGCTTGATGTATGGTGCAGGACGCGCGTGCGCAAGAGCTTGAAAGAGCTACGTTTGAGACTTGAACTCCAGAGCGGGCGATGAAAAATTCAACAAGCTTATACACGGCGCTACGACGACTGGCTACGTTTCTTCGACTGATGTGTGTGTGTGCTTTCGCGCGTCCTTTTTATTCACACAGAAAATGAGTCAATCGTATGCGATTCATCCGCCCGTGCTTTTTTTGTTTTTTTTTTACCTTTAACCTGACCATAACAAAAAAGTAGTGTTCACCTAGAGATGGGAATAAATTCATGCGCGTTAGGCACACGGTTCTGAACGAGACGAGAATGGAGTTTTGCATTTACGGTGTCTCCAACTCGTAGGCGCATTGCTGAATACATCTACAAAAAAAAAAAAAGGCCAGCTTCGCGCATCCCGCTATTCCTCGCGTGTGCAGACGAAAGCGCACTGCGAAATGAGTAGCACTAGGAGAGAGAGTCTTGAACGAATAAACAAACAACGTTCGTATCTTTAAACGCTGAATTTGAATACACTTGAGCCTAAAAAGCTCGGGCGATGCGCCGCGAGGTTGCACGTGGTCGACCGCTCCTTGTGAATGAAAGAAAAAAAGAGGGCTCTGTGAACGAGCGTGTATACTTCCTTCATATTCCAAGGTCGCTTGCTCTTGCCGTGCTTCTGTCGCGTGCTTCTGTCGCGTGCTTCTGTCGCTATTTTTCTTTATTATTATTATTACTCGTTGAATTCCGAACTCGCGCCACCGAGAGTTCTGGGTCGCCTGTTCCCGCTATGCGTGTTTTTTGTTTGTGTTTCATTTTAGGCGCGCGCGTGGCAGGTCGCCTGCGCGCTAACCCAAATCACTCATCCCAGCTTCACTTCTTTTTTTTTCCTTCGGGCGTTTTCCCGCGTTCTTGATTTTTGTCTCTTTCTTTTTCCTCGGTTTTAATGGTCTGCTGTCCCGTTTTGTTCCTTGTCCTCTTTGATCTCACGCATGGCCGTCTACCTGGTTCCGTGTAATAAGTGTTCGCACGTGGATGAATGGGACTTAAAAGAAACAATAATCCACACTCTATACAGTCATTCCAAGTTCTACAGACCTTTATGCACGAGGAACAACTGTGCCCTTAATATCAGGACTTCTTTTCACTCGCACTGACACGTTCGAACATAGCTTTTTCCCTTCAGCTATGAAGAGTGAAATGCCCGGAAGTGTCCGTACCTTACCGCTTAGAGAATTTCCGGAAGCCTATGATCATAACGTTCATTTGTTGTTCTCTTCTTTTCCTGCTACTGAAATAGCCTCACTGAGGGCGTTTCAGTAGAAAAAAGAAAAAAAAAGAGAGAGAAACATTGTTCTCTAACGCCACGTGTAGAAATGTAGAAATATCAAAGAAGAAATGTGGGGGGGGGGGGGGGGGGGGAGCGCTAGAACTGCTATAACCAGCTCTCTGCCACGCCACTGCGTGACGAACAAAATATTCGTACAGACTAAAATTACGTATGCAGCGCCGCCATTCCCCTGGAATTATCCGCAGAATAGGGTCTAGTGCGTACGAGGCAGTATGTCGAAACCGGC